GGCAATGTCTTCCCCCCCCACCGCCTCGCTCACCGCCACCCAGCGTCTTGGTGTTGGAGGTCTCCTGGAAGATGATGAGGGCAGGCCCGAGGCTGGAGAGTGAAAGCCCGAGGCCGAGGCGCTGGCTCGCGGCTTGCAGCTCGTGGCTGAAGTGGCGGAGGTAGGCACGCGAGGCGTTGCCCAGGAAACGGAAGAGGTCGTTGTGCAGCCGCTCGGCCCGCGTCCTGTACACCACCAGGTCAGACACGGCCAGCACCTTCAGGAGCAGTCGGCGCCTCCGATCCTGTTTGCTGGTCGCCCCCAACAGGCCCTCCGTGTCCAGCAGGACCAGGCCCAGGCACGGCTCGTAGGCCGCCCACACGCCCACGGTGCAGGAGTCCTGGGTGTCCGAGGTGCGGAACACCTCACGGCCGCCGAAGAAAGTGGCGTTCAAGGTATGTGACTTCCCGTCCCCCGTGTTGCCAAAGATGGAGAGGACTTTGACAGCTTGGTCCCCCGGCACTCCCAGCTTCTTCACAAACGTCTCCTCGTCTGGCACCTGTTGAACAATTCCACAGTGACACCCTCTCAGAGACAACAACAACAACGCTCAAGCAGACCGACAGCATGGGCGAGATGGGCCGAAGGGTCTGTTTCCACGCTGTATGACACCATTTCGGGCAAAGCTGTTTGCTTGACACACACATCAACAAGCAACTACTCCCTCCACCCATTGATGCTCGGTGTGTGCCATCGACAAGATAGAATTCATCAAAAGATCCTCAGGCAGCACCTTCCAAACCCCACGACCACTTCCATCTAGAAGGACAAAGGGGCAGCAGATACATGGGAACACCATCCCCTGCAAGCTCCCCTCCGAGCCCCTCACCATCCTGACTTGGAAATATATCGCCGTTCCTTCACTGCCGCTGGGTCCGAATCCTGGAATTCCCTCCCTAAGGGCATCGTGGATCAACCCACAGCACGTGGACTGCAGCGGTTCAAGAAGGCAGCTCAGCCCCCACCTTCTCAAAGGGGCGACTAGGGACGGGCAATAAATGCTGGGCCTAATCTTGGACATACGTGCCTCACAGATTAATAATGATAAAAACATCACGGCAGAACATTCCCAATGCGATGGCGAGGGAGGTTCAGCAGAAACCATCGCTCTGTCCTCTCTGGTGAGCCTTTCCAAACCCCCAGGGCAGCCCCCGAAATGGAATGGGGGTGGGGGGGGGGTGGTGTTATTCCTCTGGATTGTGCTGACCAAGATTTATTCTTTAAACCTACAGGACTCAGGAAGTGAATCACAAAGGCATCGGCAGGTTATCGGTAAAGGCAAGTCAACTGTTGGTCTTTATTTCAATGGGAACAGAATGTAAAAGCAGGGAGGTTTTGCTAAAACTGTACAAGGCAATAGCCAGACCACAACTGGAAGACGGTGAATAGATGTGGGCCCGTTGTCAAAGGAAAGACAGACTGACATGGAAGACGATCCACAGCAGGTGCACTAGGATGATCCCGGTGTGTGTGCGTGTGCATGTGTGTTTGAGCAGGGGGCGGGGGGTCTTAGGTTGAGCAGTTGGGGCTTGTACTCATTGAAGTTTTGAAGAACGAGAGGCGACCTTAATAAAACTTACAAGATTCTTAGAGTCAATAAATAAGGAGCTGGATAAGCACAGCAGGTCAGACAGCACCCAGGGAGCAGGAAAGTCAACGTTTCAAGCCAAAACCCTTCATCATACAAGATTCTCAGGGGATTTGACAGGGTAGATGTGGAGAAATTGCTTCCCCTTTGTGGGAATATCTAGAACCAGAGGGGCATCATGTCATAATAAAGGGTTGCACATTCAGGACATAGTTAAGGAGGAATTTCTTCTCTTAGAGGGGAGTGAATCTGTGGAATTCTTTACCACAGAGGGCTGTCGAGGCTGGGTCATTAAGTATATTCAAGGCTGAGACAGTGAGGTTTTTAAATCGGTAAGGTCATAGGGAAAAGGCAGGAAAGTGAAGTTGAGGATTACCATGATCTCCCTGAATGGCAAAGCTGACTCAATGGGCTGAATGGCCTGCTTCTGCTCCTATGCTTTATGAACCATTGTGACATTACGGATTGTGGTGAGGTGCGATTTGGCTGCTGCATTTCCGGCATTGCCCTTTCAGAAGTTTCTCAAACGAGTTGGAAACCTGGAATGTTTTCAAGCACACAGGTCCAGCTCGATCACAGCTGTCTGGTACGATGGCCAAGTGAGAGGCCAAAGTAGCGTTTTCAGAAAGAGGCTTCCCCACTTGAAAATGACATTTCAGCACTTCAGAACTGAGGCTGTCATCAGGAACTGTGTGGTCAGCACAGTTAATCAATGAGGGATTAAGCACAGAGAGAGAGACACACAGAGAGACACACAGAGAGACACACAGAGAGACACA